CCCCAAAACCCCAAAACCCCAAAACCCCTCAATGAGTGTAAACGTTAGAATATTAAAATCTGAATTTTATATATAATCTGTTTATTAATGAATAATCCAGCGAATCAGTTAGTAATAGCAGTTGCTGTACTAACAACAATTATTTTGATATTTTTCACTCTATTCTTCATTGCCAAGTTCTACAGTTAAATCGTGCGAATATAAACTAAATTTGACTTGCTTTTAAAAGATGTTGACATGGTATTCATTAGAGAGTTCAGAATCATCGAACCATGAATACTATGTGATTCAAAGTAATCAGAAATATTTTAAGCCAGATACCTGAAAAGTGTAAACAAAATACTACCAACAAGCCAAGAAAATGAAGGGAGTTTCAGATATTAATATTAAAAATAGTTGAAAATATACAATAGGCTTGTCTATAATATGTACAAGTATGTGCAAGCCTACAGACTGAAAAGACAGGGGACTATAGTTAAAAATTGGACTAGGGGTAAATTGAAAATACTTAAAGCAAAGATCACTATCGATATAATGCTTTTTTTCATTGATTTACTAATCATTTGGCTCATATCTTGTTCAATCATGTCTATTGCTAATAAAGTAGATACAGTACATAATCCTGCGCCTATAATAATCATATCTGTAATAATGATTGTTCTTGTTACTCCCATAGCTATTTTCTTTATATAGAAATTTTTTGTAAATCATTATACTCAAGCTTATCAAATCCAACTTATCAAAGTATTTCATCATAATAGTAGCCTTAATACATATCAACCTTAGGAACTTGCATATCAAAATTTGAAATTTATCACCAAAGTGTTTGGTGTGATTGCTTTTACTTGTATAGGATTTTCTATATGTGTGTATCAAATATGGTAAATGTAGTATGAACTAAAAGCAGCCTCTATCATAGTGCTAATCATAGCTCCATTAATTGAGATATTCTTCATAAGATAGATTTATTTAATGATCCTTTGTTTATACTAAGCAAGAAAGCTCAGAAAATAAGGCTACCTACACAATTCTCGCTTTATTGATTAATCCATCACTTAAAAGAAGTTTTTAGATGATGAAACGAACTTTGAGTTAAATAAATCAAATGAAGTTAATGAAACAACAAACCATAATAATCCAAATAAATTTTACAACCATATGAATGACTCATTCTACAATATCTAAAAATCATTTCCATTTGATGAGAGTCATGTTAATGCTAATGATCAGCTCTCAAAAAGTATACATAAACTCTTTGAAGATATTTTCCTATCTTAAAATTAAAAATATTCAATGATGGATTAAATAAATCAAACTGAAGAGGATAATTATTTGAAACTCCCCATTAAGATATGTAATCGTCACCTTAAGAATTATGATAATTATCAAAAGCTTAAGTTCTTTGAACTTATTCAATTAAATCTCATCTATCAATTGTATGGTGCAAAAGCAGCATATAAATTGGTTAAAAATATCAAATCCACTTAGCATAAAGATTACGAATTTATTGGCAATATCAAATAAGATATTGTATAGTATGCTGATGAAATCATAGAATAGGAGCGCTTAAGAGAATTAAGTGAATAAGAGTTTAAACTGATATCAGAACTGAATAAAGATAAGCCGAATCTATTTTCTAAGTTTATTAGCAAGTTTGACTTAAAAAAAAAGAAATTGAATCTAGATAAGATTGATGAAGCTAATTCCAAAGATGAGGCATCATTACCACCCTCATAGAACGAATACGAAGGTTCAATTACAAGTAGACAGTCTCTGATAAAACTAATGATGAGTAAAATTATGAAGCACTAAGAAAAGAAAAAGAAGAAGAAATTTTAGCCACATGCCACTATAAAAAACTAAGAATAAAAAAACTATGTGGAACTATTAGTCAAAAGATCACTAGCCTAGACATAAAAAGTCTAAATGAACAGTGAGGCTTTGAGTTAGTCCGATATCGAATCTCAAATGACTTTAAACTACATGAATAGAAAAGCATCAGTGCATTCTATTTAGAATCAACCTCTTCCTATGATTAGCCCAGCTAAGTCGATGGCAAACATTAGCAAGGGATCATTTGCTCCTTCTTTGAAATCTATTAAATAAAGCGAAAATAAATAAGTAATTTCATTCCAAAGTCCAATTAGTTAGAATTAGAAATCTATAAAATCATAAGTAAGTAAATCACATAGTATTGTGAATCAATAAAGTTAAACAAAGAAGAGTTTCGCTAATTTAATTGAGGAGCAATAGTTGCTATCTTTTCATCCTTAAAGCAATGCTAGTTATCGAGAATTCGATTAATTAGAATTTTTGACTGATCAAATATAATTAGTGACCTAGAGAAGAGATTAGGTTAATGAAGATTCAAAGAGATCTATACGTATAAGTGAATTAGATTCAATTACTGACAGTGAGGAGAGAACTCAAAGAATAATGCAGAGCCAAATGCATTTAGAGAAGCTATTAGGTGATTAAAATGATAATGTGGAGATTAGTGATTCTTCATACTTATCATCACTACAAGAAGTATCTGATATATAGGTAGGGTAAAATTTCGAAGACTCAGAGGATGCTTGTGACAACTTGAATGTGGATTTTTAATAATAAAATATAGAGCCGTTTCCAGATTAGAATGATCTGATAGGACAAAGATTACCTACTGAGGAAGACGATGTAAGAAAGTCCAAAGTTAATTTCCAGGCTAGGTCAAATAGTATCCCATAGATGGAGAATGAAATAGACACAAAGAACCAGCTGACTATAATGGACTTTAGGGATTTGATTGATCAGCATTTAAAAAGTAATGGTGGCAATACAAATAACCTAAGTACTAATGTAAATAGTTAAGACATTACATAATTGACTACACCTGCTGCTATCAATTAGAAGTAAATTGTCTTAGCTGAGAGTAGAGATGATGACTCTTACAATATTAGCGATATATTGCCGAGCAAAAAGATCATCAAATAACAATCATTTTAGTCCTTAAAGAGAGAATCAAGTGCAGCAAAAATTTATGATGAGTCTGTATTGCTAAGAACTCTAGACAAATAAAACTAGAATAACTAATCAGTCTCAACTCAAAAGCATCTTTAAAGGTCATAATCTTAAACTATTGATATGATTTAAAGGAAATCTATGAGGAAGTCAGGATCTCAATTCATAATAAACAGGCAGTAGACTACAGCTGATAATACTAACATTTATGACAGTTCAAAGATGATTGGCTCTGTTGATAGAAAATCTTAAGAAGAAAATTAGGAGATATTTGATAAGATTATTGATGAACAGAGGCAAAGTGAATTGTTCTTAAAAAATAAGCTTAAAATGATACATTAGAAGAAAAAAGAAGTTGAGTATAGGATGACTAACTTTTCTGTACATAAGTAGCCTCCAGCCAATAGATTGTCCATTCAAACTCCTGGTAGTATAAATTATTTTCATAATGGGAATGATTATGGTTAGAATAACGTGTCTGGCTTTTCTGAATATTCTTAATCACCTAAGGGAATCAAGAGCAAGAATCATTCTTATCTTAAGGGATTCTTTGACCCAGTTCAGAAGCAAACAGCTTAAACCTTAGAGAAGATGAATCGATTTGAAAAAGATAGATTCTCTATGTACATGAATGACTTCAAGGAGTAAAGGAAGAAGTTTAAAAAGAAGCAGAATAAGAGAGTCAAAAATGGTAAAACTAATGGAAATAACACAAGTGGTATTAATAATTAGGATTTAGATGAGAGTCCTACCAGAGATAATTCAATTGTAAATGAGTAACAGTAGAATGTGGGAGGTGTTCAGATATAAGTATTACCGACTGTATTACCATAGACATCTGTTTAACTGTAGAACTAGTTATTGATTAGATCTAGCAGTGCCTCTGGTCTAAGACTAAATAGCAATAAAAAATAAAGAGGGAACCCTGTTTAGTAGTCATTTGACTCAGGATATAGTAACTCTAATTACAATATGTCGCTTAATATTAATTTCAACCCTCATTACTAGTTATTTGAGAGACCTTAACAGCAACTAGCAGTTAAGCCACCCTTGCAATCAGCAACTAAAGACAAAAAGAAGAATAAACTTAAAGTTTCTAGATCCTAAGCATAGTTAAAGCCTCTTTAATAAGTTAAGAAAAATTAGTTATTCAAATCTAGTGAGGGCTCTGTCGATGAAACTACAAAGGGCCAGAAGTTCTAGCTTGATCCTGAATTGTCAAGCATTATAGATGAGTTGAATAAGGATTTGGCTTCATATGTTGATTTGGATAAGTAGGGATAGCAATAGAATCAGCAGCTCTAATTGAGATAGTAGCAGGATGTAAGAGTCTTCACTTTTTATCATAGCAAGGACAAGGACTAGACTTCCAATTATCAAAACACAGTGGAAGACCTAGAATCGTAAATATGAATACATAATCTAAATTTATGATTGATTGTATAGATAATGACAAATGATATACTTTATATTTTGATAATGAGAAATAAACTTAATTTCATAACTATCTATTAATCAACTACTTGACAAGGGCTCTATTTTGCTTCTTTCCCCCGAGCACGTCTCTGTTATTCTCAATTAATTCTATATTCTTGCTCATCCTATCTATCAATATTGCTAGTCGCATGATCTGATCTTTTTTGAGTATGTTTCTATGGTCCCAAAGGTAGTCCTTGATGTGATTAATACGCTCTATCTTATTCTAATAATTATTAAACTTCAAGTCATCTCTTTTTACCTTCAAATCTTCTAACTCCTACTACTTAATATCTAGATCATAGTTAGGAATGTCAAATATGCTTTTACTACTGTTCTGTATATAATTATTTGTTTCTACAGTGTTAAAGGCTTAGTCAGTTCGATTATGACCTTGGTTCACAAATCGTTTATTCTTTTTATTAGATGGAACATTAATTTATCTTAAATTAATGCTTGATCTTTTATTGATAAAGGATAGGTAATCATTTAGATTCGAATTATTTGCTGTTTAAATTCGATTGCTACTCTGCAAAGGATTGAGTTGACCTAATTTTTAACTGAAAATTTTATTAGGTTTCCGGAATTCATTCTTATCTTATTTATACTCGATGAATGTCTTAAATTACTCTGAATCAATATAATCTTGGTTTAATAATATATCTTTATTTCTAGCCTTTTTGCTGTTTTTTAATAGATTTATCGACTTATTTCTGGATGTGGGATTACGATTAGGTGTTTTAGGCCTTTTGATCATATTGAATTTTAATGCATTTTATGTGCATTACTACTTTGCCTCTAATTCCATTTACTCATCGTCTAATATCTTTAAATCCATATTTCGTTTGTTTTTTTAAGTCTAAATCGATGTAGCCTCATCATTATGAGTCTAAGCAGATATTTAAGCCTATTTAAAATCAGAATTCTTTAGGATGAAATCTTATCGAACTGAATCATAGGCTATAGGCTAGTCATAAACAATAGAGAGCAGTTTACTAGCTCTTCTAGCATTCTCAATAGTTTTATTAACTTAACTAGATTGCTAATCAAATGTATTGTTAATGATCTTATTGAAAAGGTAATTCTCATCTCCATCAGTATGAAAGTTTGAAGACTTATTAGATCTATTTCTCAATACTTTAGTTCTTGAATTCAAACTGGTCTTCGACTATTTCAGAATTGGAACATATCCTCCATAGTCAAGAGTTTACAATAAACTTGCTTACTTTTAGAATTATTGTTCAAGGGGTATGTTTAAACTAGCATAGGCGTTATCATCTCTATGTTGATTCTAAAGTGAATGATTGTCTGTCTTTGATTCCGTGTCTAATGATACCATGTTAAATATCGAAGCATCATTATTAAAGATCTTATAATCATCTAATGCGCTAGTATGATGCCTAATTAAACCCTAATTTTGATTTCAAGTAAGCAATTAGCTTCCAAATTAACCATCGTCATAAGCATTTGTGGGTAGATAAATCTTAGATTCTTAACCAGTTGAAAATTTAGTCAGATTATTTTAATTTTACTACTTATGTCTTTGAGTTGATCGAGATCTATAGCATCTCATGTCTATTTAAATATTTTTATTAATGTCTGAGTTTGATGATGTCGCATAATTGGCTTTAGCAATTACATTTATCATTAATCTATTTTATGTCTTATTTTGAATAATAAATTACTTTCAAATTTTTAGTTTTTAATCTATCATAGGGGTTTTGGGGTTTTGGGG